TCCTGACAGGAAGCGCCTCACTGTTTGCCCCCAGCACTGCTGTTACTCTACCCCACCTATGCAATGGGGTGTCTCTGGGTCACAGCAGCAGAATTTGGTGATATTTGGTTAATGTTGAGCAAAGCCTCCCCTTGCACTACTCTTGCTGTCCTCTCTCTCCTGAAGAAATCGCCTCTGTGGTGAAGTTGTGTTCTTCTCTCTCCAGGCAAATCTTCTCTCACCATCCAGTTCGTGGAAGGACAGTTCGTCGACTCCTACGACCCCACCATCGAGAACAGTACGTGCCTCAGGCCTTCTGCTCTTCGCCCACTGGCCCAGTCCAGGGCGCTGTTAGGCAGACGCTCAACAAGGAAGCATAATCTGGTTTTCCTGCGCTAGGCTAGAGTCCTGATGGTTTTCCTGCTGATATGTTTAGTTCTCCAGACAGTAAACGGGTCTCCTGCAGGGTGAATGTTGTCTGCAGGTTGGGAGGCTCTGGGGCGGCCTGTGGGTGGGTTCCTGAACACCTGCCTGATGCCGTGTCTCCGTCTGTCCTCAGCCTTTAACAAAACTGTGTGCGTGAACGGGCAGGACTTCAGTCTGCAGCTGGTGGACACGGCCGGCCAGGTACCCGAGGCGCCAGGCCTCTCCTTTCTCTCTGTCGCCCCTCCTCTTCCTCAGCCTCCCTGTCCCTGCAGCAGTTCATCTGTTCGTAGCTAATGGTTCGTCTGTCTTGTTTGTCCGTCTGTGCAATGACTAATTTAGCCGTCTGTGTCTCTGTTTGCTCTTCTACGTTTGTTGGTCTATATGCACCCATATTGCCATTAGTGCTGCTTCAGTTAGCACTGAGTCGCCACAACATTCCCTGTCCTGGGCACTAATTTTCCTGACTCCACGCAGTCCAGAGTAGACTGTGTCTGTGAGGCACACAGGCCAGGCAGCAGCAACTACAGCTAGAGCTTTGTCTCCGTTAGCACTGATTCCCACAGCGCTCCTGTCCCTGAACACATCCCCTCTGATCCAGACTAGACCTGCCTC